AAGGGGAGGAACATGCCCATCACCTTTTAGGTCCCGGGATGCTCGAAGGGCCCCTTGGAACTGACAGTCGCGGAGGGTTCGACGATGACGGGAGATTTCGAAGGGACTGAAGCAGGGGCGTAGTTTCGCAAAATGAGTTCAGGGGTGGGTGGACTGAGCTTAAAAAGCTGCCGCACCTTATCCCCGAAATGTGCCGACAAGGTGGTTTCTCCACGGATTTGGCCTACTTTCATCTCAAAGTTCGGCACTGGAAATCAAGTTGGGGTACTGCCCCCGCCCCTTCCTAGGACTAAATAGGAAACCAAACTTGCAGTGGCACCGGCTTCTGTCCGTGCAGGGGAGTAGAAGCGCCCCCTCGGGTCTCAGCTCCGGTACCGGTTGGACACACAAGCTGTTCATTTAAGAGCCTAACAAACCTGCCGGTACGCACTCCCGCTCCCTGTCCCGCCCGCTCCTCTCCCATTACCTGCATTCCCGTAACCAGCCCTCTGACCACTTCTCATTCTCGTTTTATCAGGATCGCCGCACCCCTCGCCCACATCTCGGGTTGATCGGATCGTGGTGGCTGAGGGGCGCGTCGTGCGGGTCAGTCACGATGCGTCCCAACACCTCGCTTCGACCAGGATATCCGAGGGGGCGGGAGGAGGGCTGTAGAGCTTCATACGGGTTTAGAGGCTTGTCACTAGCGCTGCGGCTGGATGCTCCGTGCGGGTCTCCGCTTGGAGTGTTTGGCCGCATGCAACGACTAAGGGCTCAAGGGGCGACGGCGCTGAACCACAGTGAGGACGGAGGAAAACCTCACGTTACACCTGGCCGTGCGGGAGGCGTTGTTTGCCCCGTATATCATCGGGTAGCCCTGGCGGTGGCTACCTCCCGCGGGAGTGTTGAACCATCCCCCAGTTGGGCTACGTGGGGGCTGGGCAGCACCGATGCCAAAACTAAAAAGAACTTGCATGGCTTTTCGCACCAAAAAAAAAAAAAACAACACTCAGACCCCGAAAGGGGGAAGGACCAAGACCATCCCGGAAGCAGCGGAGGGTCTTCCCTCACTTACCGGATCGATTTTTCAGAGCCATGAGAAAAAGCTTTTGTCTCTCTCACCGTTCCAGCGGAAGAACGGCTATGACCGCTTCGGCAAAATTGATCGGTGCGATGAACTGCGAGATGGAAGGATCGAAGTCGAGTTTGCCAGTGGAGTGGAGTGTTTCTAACGCGGTGTTTCCAGTGTCAACGCTTCAGCCACATCAGACCGTGCTGCCGAAACAGACCCGCTTGTGCGAGATGCGTCTCACTTGAGCACACAACGGACGTCTGCGACCCAGAGGGACCCCGCTGTGTAAACTGCAGTAAAAAACAAACCCCGCAAACGACCGTTGATCGCATTTGCCCAGCTTACCTGACAGAAAATGAAGTTATCTCGGTTAAAGCCCCACGAAACACTTCATTTCGCGAGGCTCGGTCGCCCTGCGACAACAGCCATCCACAAACCTCGTACGCGGCGAAGGCCATGATCTCCGCTGCACGCTCGAAGGCGACGGAGCAACTGGCTGCTGCCTGGCTCGTCGCACTTCCGAAGTCCTTCAGCCTCTCAGTGGTATTGGCGAATCAGGTGCCAGACTCCCAGCCGGTGGCCCTCGTGTCGAAACCTCGCCGTCGAAACAGCGAGTTGGGATCGCACCACTGGCCTCTTCGCCCCAGGTGGGTTCACCAGTGTCGGCTAGAGACGGAGGGTGGACGGCGGTCTGGCGGGATGCCCCCCCCCCTCCACGCCCTCCCCGGACGCGGTAATCTACTCTCGCCCTCACAGCTGTCGGTGTGCCACAAGTAAAGCACCCTTGGAAATGCTTGTGCTCGAACATTGCAGACCCTTTAGCGCCACGAGGTGGACAGACGTGCCCGTGATGTCTACCGGGCGATTCTGGCGAAGCAGGAGAGGAAAAGACGGTCATACAATAGCGTACATTTCAAAGACCCGTTTGAACAACGCCTTTGCCTCGCAATCAAAACGGGTTCAAAAATTTGTACTGACATGACCAACACGCGTCTGCCTGACGATACGTATCCTTTCACATTTTTTATCTTTAAAAAGTGGTTTCCACAAACAAGCAAACAAAAAACGACGTGGTTTCCACTACGCGCGCTCACAATTAAACTAGGAGGAAAAATACCGATGCCTGTCGTTGCAGTCTTCCTCGAACCGACCAGCGTTGGCTGCCGCAGCTAACACCACACAGCGGGCAGCTGTCTGGTGTTAGCTGCGCTATAAATGCCAGTTTTTTCCAGCAATGCGCCAGTATGTTTTCTGAAGTATTTCGAGTTTAATTTGTACCGTTCAAGAGCTTTCTGGGATATATATATATATATATATATATATATATATATATATATATATATATCTGTGTGTGTGGTGTGTGCGTGCGTGCGTGCGTGCGTGCGTGCGTGCGTGCGTGCGTGCGTGCGTGCGTGTGTGTGTGTGTGTGTGTGTGTGTGTGTGTGTGTGTATATATATAATCTAGACAGGGTATAAGTGCATTCTCTGTAAACGGGTCCGCTGTGAACGCAACACGGGCAACCATTTCACCACCACGCCGAGTCAGCGTGCTGTAAATGCTAGTCTGTTCCGATTATCAACCTGAAAATTGTCTGGATAATATGCACGGCCTAGACTACCTTCTACAAGTACATAAAGACTTATAATGCATCGGAAAGTGCCTATAAAAGTAAAGCATAGAAATAAATAGCACCCTAGTCACAAGGTAGCCAAATGCATCAAATTATCTTTGCGGGAAGAGGCTTTTCAAAAGCAGAGGCTCTTCGTCAACCAAGTGCCTTCACTCTACCACGAATGGCTGCACCGCTGCGCGTGCCCGGCGGAACGACGCTCTCACGCAGTTCATTCTTAACCGGCGTGCGAGCACAATAGACTTATTTCTAAAAGTTCCTGGGATCGCCGCTTTCGGCACACAGAAGCGGTCGCAGGTGTCACACTGCACATGGCAGACATCACCGTGAGTTTTGCACACCGACTGCCCTTGATTTCAACATCCAAGGCCAATTATGAAGGGCCGTGGCGCGTCTATGGCATGTAGCCGTACAGCGTAAGCAGCGAATGCGAGCGAAGGGGGGGGGGATGGGTGCACATGCAACATGGCATGACTCACCACTGAACACAGCAGTGGCATCATCCGACTGGGCGAGCCGGCTGAGCCGAGCCGCTTCCGTTCATGTCGCGTGCAGATCACATGATTCCGTCCTTGATCGGAACGCAGCCCGCCCGCCTGGGATGGCGGCTCAGGCGGAGAGCCCGCCCGCCTGATCAGATGCGGACACGACAGCGCCTGATCGGCTGCGGACACGACAGCGAGCCCGCCCGGGGCGGCGACTCAGGCGGAGAGCCCACCCGCCTGATCAGCTGCGGACAAGACAGCGAGCTCGCCCGGGGTGGCGGTTCAGGCGGAGAGCCCACCCGCCTGATCAGCTGCGGACACGACAGCGAGCGCGCCTGGGGCGGCGGCCCAGGCGGAGAGCCCGCCTGACCAGCTGCAGACACGACAACATGCCCCCACTGTGCCGACTCATAGCATCCTCCTCTCAGACCCCGACCGTACAGAGGTAGCCCCAGCCCCGTCCTGAGTTCGTAGGGGCGCACACACTCGTGAAAGTGTAGTACTTAGTGTAACAATACATGCTGTGTCGTGTTGTGAGCTCTGACCTGCGAGCGAGGTGAACCAAATGCCTTCACCTTCATACATATATTTACCTTCATGATGATACCTCCACCACCACTTCATACTGCTGGCTTGTGGTAAAGGTGACTCATGTCACCACATCATAGGCCAAACCCTTGTCTACAACCTCCTGGTATTTACCCGGAGCCACCAGATGAGTGTCCTGCACGGATGTATTGCTCCAGACGACCACTGCAGCGCGTACACGTTCGCCGATAAAATGCATACAATCACTACACCATGCCACGCATGGTCTATTTCATAAACGCATGCCGCTGCTATCCGGCGCCGGGCCAGTTCACAGAACCGTGCTCAACCATGTCAACAGCAAGGGGTATGAGGGGCTGGCACGGGCGGGTACCGGAGACATACATAACACGGCAGGAAGCTGACGCAGCGACTCTTAACAAGCACTTCGCGTGCACCCCACGCCAGCTCACCATTCCCCAGCCACACGGCAGCCTGGGACCTCACACTCCTCGCAAACCTTCCTTACAAAAAGACCGGCCTCCGACGCCTTCACGAGCTCAGCCGACAGGACAACCAGCCGCCCCGCTGACAACGCGAAGCGGCGAAGTGGCGGCTACCCGCGGCGCGGCCGCCGGCGCCGGCTGCGCTGGCGCCCAGCCGCAGTCAGCAGCGGCCCGCTCTGCGGCCGGGGCCGGTGACCGAGCCTAACGGCCTGCTCCACTCGGCCACCACCTCCACCCCACCGACCTGCGGTGCGGGGCGACTGAAAGCACTACAGATCGGCCCGGAGGCGCCGCCCGCGCGCGGTTCGCCGCCGGCGGCGCGCCCCGGCCTCTCCCGCCCAGACTAGGAGTGTACTGCCGCGCCGCATTCCAGCGAGCCACCCTGTGTTCGTGCCACCCCAGACGTCCGGTGACCGCGCCACCTATCGGCAGCACGTACAACCACTAGTTACCGTGAGCCCCGGCGCAGCAGCGCACGCTGCCTACGGGCGCGTCCGCTGATCTCCGGCGACCACTGGACAGTTTGTCGGCCAGAGCGCCGCTCACCGCACTTGGCCGAGCACTGGAAGGTTCGTCTACAGCCGCCACAGACTCAGCCGTCAAAACACTAGTCGTTGTAGACCCACCAGTCGCGCTCGTAGCCTTCGTGCACGTGCTCTAGCAGGGCCCTCCGCCGGCCGTCGCAGTATCTGGCCGAACAAGAGCAACGCTGTTGGGCGTGCTTCACAGAACAGACTTGACAGTCACACGACATACACCGTGTAATGTTCCCCAGGACCCCACAATGGGACGAAACAACCCCACGTCCTACAAACTCAACTTGCCAGTTAAATATATGACGGCCACTGGTATCAGCGATATGGCCTCGCGCACGTCACAACTTCGCGAGTTCGAGTTTGAGTTTGTTCATAACTCCAATGACATGGGCGAGCATAATACATGAACACGATATGGCCTCGCGCACGCCACAACTTCGCGAGTTCGAGTTAGAGTTTGTTCATAACTCCAATGACATGGGCGAGCATAATACATGAACACGATATGGACGCGCGCACGCCACAACTTCGCGGGTTCGAGTTTGAGTTTGTCCCTAACTCCAATGACATGGGCGAGCATAAGACATGAACACGTGCAGTTCAATGACATCAGCAGCGCAAACGACGGCGCTTGGCCCCACCTGTCCTTGTCCTGAACTTTCTGTTTGATGTCCACCAGGTTCTCCTGAGTGATGTCGCGCTCCAGATACTCAGACAGCACTTCAGTACACCGCTCCAGGTCCTTCTGGTTCTCCTGCAGTACGCCACCACAAAATAAGCCTCCAGCTTTTTAGGTCGTGCCCCATGAAAGGTGGTACAAAGGCGGCGGCATGGGCCACCAACGCCTACGTCTTACGAGAAGACAACAGGCAACCCGACACGCACTTCGATGATAGGAATGTTTGTAACGAGCTTATCAATAGTTGTCCATTCAGTAGGCAACTGGTGGTTAGATGCCACCGACACGCTTACCTCAAATATGGTTGACTGGTTGTTCTTTCGCAGGTAGTACGCGAAGACGTACGTGTACATAAGCGTCACACGACAGGAACACAGAATGTCCACAGCCTTCTTCAAAAATTGCACCTATGGCGACACAGAACACAAAACCATTGTGTTAATCAGCAGGAAACATGATATCCGAAATTATCGTTCGAAATAAAGTGATAATATTAGCCTACTTAGTACGTTTGGTTCTTATGAGTCCGCAGTTACAGTTGTTTTGAGCATGACCAAGAAACATGAAGTTCACCTGTGCACATACCAGTTTTTTAGTACTTGTTGAGCACATATTACACAAGTCAAGCGGCTAGGTGTGTCAGTGGTATAGTTTCCCATGCGGCTGCTGCCATCCCTGCAAGGGCGTGACTTTAACATGACACACCACATACGTGAAATTATTATTAATTATTATTAATCATATGTGCATCTAGTTTTAGATAAGCTTGGAGTTGTGTTTGACTGTCATGCTTGGTTCATGTCTGAAACTGCTTTAGGATGCCCCCGCTTCGAGGTGTGGTACCACTCCTGCCCAGTTGGTATACAGCCACACACACACAGCAGGTACTCTCCCGACAGTGTGACGCCTGTACCCCAGCTGCCTCCAGTCTGCAGCTGACCTCGATCCAACTCATGTTGTGCTGCTGCATCTCCTCCATCTTCTCCTTGACTGAGGCGTACAGCTTGTTCTCGAACTTGAGGGACTGCATGTGGTTCATGTAGCGGTTGCAGTAGAAGAGGTAGCGATTGAGTACGGCGCGCGATTTCTCCTGGGCGTCGCGGGCCGCCTTGGCCTCGTCCTCGTCGTATCGATTACAGCTGTACCTGTGCGTAGCGTAGAGAATTACACCGGAAACGGGGGTAGTGCCGGTGGCAGCTCTACCCATTTCAGGGGTGGGGTCTACGACTAACCAGCAGCGTACAACAAAACGCTACGCCTCCATAAGCCCACACCTTACACAAAGTCGGGCGCCGATCAGCCCTAACATCTGCAAAACCCGGGTACAAAACACGATACGATTACAAAACAGCAAAAGCATACATGAACAATGCATTTTCAGGCATCAAAGCATTGTAGCATTACTAGGAATGTACACGCGTTATGGGTAGCACCAAACACAGTATTGTGGCGAGTAGTGTGGTATTACTAGAAGCGTATACATCTCATGGGTACCAATAAACGTATTACATAATATCGCACGACAGTCCCGCTAAATGTGCCTAAATGTATGGTAGCATATCCGAGACATTCAAGATTCCTGACAGAGCAAACGGCGAAAGCGGCACCAAACATCCTTTTTTCAGTTGCACCGATGAACGTAAACTCAGGCGGGGCACCAAGTTCCGGCGCGCGGGCTCAAGATGGCCGAGATACTGGTCAGAACTGGACCGTTCTAACTAGGGACGCGAGCAGCCCAACAAGACGGGAGGCCCACCCCAGCAGAGGTCGTCACTGACCAGGAGGAGCCGTGCGGCTCCCAAGAGCCCAGGCACACCCAGCAGAAGTCGGCGCGACAGCTCTGGTTCTTGCACACCATGTGGTTGCACCCGCCGTCCTTCTCGATTGTCACACTGCACTTTGGACACTCCTGCAAGGCACACGCGCCATGGCGTCACACGATCCGCATGACGAGGCCGGTCCGCTTTGGACCGACCGGCTCGGCCGACGAGGACCAGCAATACTCTTCAGTGCAAGCTGGGCCCGACTCGCTCCCAGGGCAGCCTCCACAGGACTTCGGACAATGGCTATCAATCCAGCAGACACAGTATGGCCAATTCAACAAAAGCATCTGTTTTCAAAAGGCACAAAGCGGCAGCGGCAGTTTACTGCATGATCCCTGTTTACAATCCCCTCTAACTCACAGTCAAACCCCACAATCACATCAGATCTCGACCCAACCAGCGGAAGTCCACTGTCCAACCCACAGTCCGCGAGCGGCAGCAACACCCATCCAGCCCCAACACGCACCTTGGTGTTGGCGGAGATCCAGTTGAATGTCTCCGAGTCGTCGTCGCACTTCTTGAGCCAGCGCTTGATGAGCGAGCACCGCACCGGATCGTGCCAGGCCTCGCCGCACGCGAAGCAGAAGCGGTGACCGCACTTGCACGTGACGGGTCGCATGTCCGGGTAGGAGACCTTGAGCGCGTAGCCGCAGTCCGGCGTCGGGCACCAGCACAGACACCGGTTACACTGGCGGCGGACGACGGGCTCGTGACACACGACCGGCCCCGGACGGCCAAGCACTCTGCTGGCTGCTGGCCCGAGCGCCGACACTGGCGCAGCCACCAGCTGCAGGGCACTGTGGTGTAGTGTAGCAGGCGAGGCACAGAACACCGTACGCAAGGACATGAGGATGAAGAACAATTTTTTGCAGGCAACACGGCTGTCCGCGGTCTGCACAGTCGACACAAACACCAAATAATGACCCATCAAACATACTTTCTTTCGAGCTATAGGCTGACGTAACACCTCCCGCATGTGAACCAACTTCAGCATTCTCGAAACCCAATCCAATTCGCTGATAGTCGCAGCTGTCTAAACATCCAACACAGAAAAGATGCTGCCGCCGCCACAGGCATGCCTCCGGTCGCCAGCTCGCACCTCAACGAAGCTGTTGGTGATGAGGTGCTGGTAGCGCTGCAGCACGCGCGGCTCGCTGACCAGCCGCATGACCGTCTCGTCGTCCACCAGGATGTCGCAGCCGTGCGCCGCGCACGAGATCGTCTGGCCCATACCCTCATCCATCACCTTGGTGGTCAGGTACTCAGCCCAGCAGCCAGCGCAGAACCGGTGGCCGCACGGCAGGCTCGACATGACCTGCGGGCGCGGGGCAACCGTCACACGGGTCACGCGAGAGCAGCGTCCCTGACGTCCCTGCGTTCCTGACGCGGCAGCGGTCCGAAAGAGGCGTTGGCACGCGGCAGCGGTCCGAGGGAGGCTGTGGCACGCGGCAGCGGTCCGAGAGAGGCCGTGGCACGCGGCAGCGGTTCGACAGAGGCGTTGGCACGCGGCAGCGGTCCGAGAGAGGCGTTGGCACGCGGCAGCGGTCCGAGTAAGGCCGTGGCACGCGGCAGCGGTCCGAGAGAGGCGTTGGCACGTGGCAGCGGCCCGACAGAGGCGTTGGCACGCGGCAGCGGTCCAAGGGAGGCTGTGGCACGCGGCAGCGGTCCGAGAGAGGCCGTGGCACGCGGCAGCGGTCCGAGTAAGGCCGTGGCACGCGGCAGCGGTCCGAGAGAGGCGTTGGCACGAGGCAGCGGTCCGACAGGCGTTGGCACGCGGCAGCGGTCCGAGGGAGGCTGTGGCACGCGGCAGCGGTCCGAGAGAGGCCGTGGCACGCGGCAGCGGTCCGACAGAGGCGTTGGCACGCGGCAGCGGTCCAAGAGAGGCGTTGGCACGCGGCAGCGGTCCGAGTAAGGCCGTGGCACGCGGCAGCGGTCCGACAGAGGCGTTGGCACGCGGCAGCGGTCCAAGAGAGGCATTGGCACGCGGCAGCGGTCCGAGGAAGGCCGTGGCACGCGGCAGCGGTCCGAGAGAGGTGTTGGCACGCGGCAGCGGTCCAAGAGAGGCATTGGCACGCGGCAGCGGTCCGAGGAAGGCCGTGGCACGCGGCAGCGGTCCGAGAGAGGTGTTGGCACGCGGCAGCGGTCCAAGAGAGGCGTTGGCACGCGGCAGCGGTCCGAGGAAGGCCGTGGCACGCGGCAGCGGTCCGAGAGAGGTGTTGGCACGTGGCAGCGGCCCCAGGGAGGCGGGTGGGATACCTATCGCCCTGACGGTCTGCTGCCCTACTGTTCAGTGTCTTAAGGATACGCCATGCACAGGTCCACTCGGCAGTTCATTTGACACCCAGATAAGAACATAGCTGGCAAACCGACACTCAATATGTTAAGTGGCAATCTTGTTCAACTGTGTTCCTTTCAGATAAGCTACCTTTCGCTTCCGCTCGCTATTGATTGCTTTGTAAACGAGCCGCACCGACGCAATGGCACAACCATATACAAGTTGAAATAACAGACATTTCCGACTAGAGTCTGTGCTAAGCAGTTTACCGGGAGCCCGTATGTAACAGTGCAATCCTGGAGTCTCAATAGCAGTCCTGCCATTCACCCCAATGGTGCCCTCCGTCCCCCCCCCCCCCCCCCCTCTCCGGCCCTCCAGCTCAAGTGAAGGAGCACCGTCGCCGGCGGGAGGCCATCCCCGTCGTAGCCGGGGCTCTGCTCACCGCCGACGGCTGCACCGTCAGGCAGATCTCGCACTCCTCGGTGGTCACGGCGCCCCGCCGGCTGTTGACCTGGCGAGGTGGGACGCCCGGGTCAGTGTCACCGCACGTCACACACGGCAGCGCACCGGCAGGGTGGTGCTCCGCTCCCAGGATCCCGGCCCCCCACCACATCATTCGACGCTGGTGGGAAGACGTCCGAGGGAGGCGGAGGGGCGCGGCGTCTGGAGGGGCCATGTCTCGACGTGGCCGGCCTCCACCGGCTCACCCACCCCGACGAATGCATGTGGTGGGAGTACAAGGTGCTGGCAGAAAGTCTGGAATGCCCGGACAACGGGCACTACTGGCGCCATGAGGATAACCTCGTGAAAAAGCATTGGGCATATGTACCCAAAATATTTCATATTTCAGCGGGATCTGGATGTCATAGGGCTTCAGGCACCCAGTTTTCGAAGAACAACAGAAAAAAACATATGACCTATCACCATAACATGGACTGGAAATGCTTTATCAATCATGTCACCGAGCCTTGCTCTGGGGCGAGCCCCCTGATCCACCTCGCAATCCTTCGCGTTTCTGTGCAGGAGAGCCGCAGGCCACCTGTCATCGCTGGGCGGGCGGTGGGTGCTCGTGATGCGCGGCGCCTACCTTGGGCGCGTGCGAGCTCTTCCTAATGAGCGGGCTGACGACATGCGCCTCCTGGAATAGCCGCTCCTGGTCCGTGTCATACAGCCGCTCCAGTAGCTTCTCCTTGTCCCAGTTAAAGTGGTTCAGCAGAATTCGTATCGTCGTTCGCGGCAGCTGGAACAGCGGTGAAACCACATATTAGAACACTGGTTAGAACACTGGACGGACGTACAGCAGTGACGGGATCGGGGTCAGTTCATGTCACGTGTCATTTCCTATTGAAGGCTCCAGATCCTGCCATCTGGCACATATACATTTAAGTCCAATGGATAAAGCCACACCATTTTGCCACCCAGCACGGAAGGATGTTTAGTTTTCTATCGTACTCCGATACCCTGAAGTTTGACCTGCCTGCACCCCGAGGGCAGCTGCCAATTTCGTGTCTTACATCAAAATAAGGCAAGCATATTCAGAAACACCCGTGGAAGTGCTGACCTGAGCCACGTCCTTCACTTCATTGATCTCTTCCACCATGAACTCGACGATCTCCTGGATGGAGAGGACCTGGAACGGGTAGTCGTCCATGATGGCGTCGTCGGCCCTGGAAGCGGATGGGCCCGCGCGCTGCTCGTCAAAGTCCAACTCGTCGCCGCTCGACTCGTTCCCCGAGTCGGCCTCGTACAGCATGTTGTCCTCGCCTGAGTCCTCGTCATACTGGATCTCGCCATCTGAATCCATGTCGACCTGGGGAAGGGTTATACAGGTTTTAAAATACTTGCAATAAGCATATATACTTCTCAAGGTCCAAGCTTTTAGAGCCAGTAAATATGGGTACACAAATCAAGTGAAATCAACAGGTTTATCCCTCCAGCAAGCAAGAGTTGAGGACCATTTCCTGTTCCAAGGTGCAAGGTTTACAGAACATCATAGCATTTATGGATCAACATGGCGAACTCAGCCAGAATGATTTTAACAAAATTACAAAAGTAACTCTAAGCAGGGAGAGAAAAACATAAGTTGGTTAGTTGGTCTTGCCACCCATCTAAGGTCTTACACTAATGAATGTTGATCCACTTAAGCCATGACTCAGTTCTGAATTCCAAAGCATTATTCAGAAATTCAAAATGATATCAAGATCAAATGGAAGATGAGTCCAGATTTTACAGCACAATGACAGAACAACAGTTGCAATGCACTGGAAATCAGAGAAAACAAAGTAGGTGAGGATAAACAAGACAAATGCCATGCATAGCACATATTAAACCATCCAGTAAAGATAAATTTCCCACCTCTAGCTGACTACTAACATCTAGCAATTCAACATGATTCCTGATCCTGGTATGTGGTCAGACAGCATAAAACCATCCAACTGTTGTTAATTGATTAACAACTGAACAGTGTGGAATTCCAGCCTCTGAGGTCTGATTATGACACAGTTCTTGCATCTGCATCTGATCTGATCATCTGACACAATGCAGGCAAAATTTAAAGCATCTTTATTAGAACATACTACTCCCATTGCTATGCAGAACATACTAGTCAAATAATGAACATTCATGTACAAGGCAATGTGACTGTGTCACTTGACAGATGTAATTGTGTGATATGATTACTTTTTTTGCTAGTTATTAATTCATCTAGAGGCCTGATTCATGTTATGATTCAAAAGTTTGAATGGTAGAGCACCATTCATATGTGCAGCCTTTTGTGCACAGGGTAGTTCACTGTTTGGTTCACTCCCAAATCATCATCAGCTACCCAAATATTTACTGAAGACCTGCTGCTACCCTCCCCAAACATACCCAAATCTGAAACAGAGTGCTTCACATTTTTATAGGATTTGGAACTCAAATAGCCATCTTAAAGATAAGTTGGCACAGTCCACAGCACTGCCCTTCTAAAGACTCAACCCCCCCCCCCTCCCCCTCTAAATTCTGAGCCACACATCTACCAAGATGCACTGACTATTTCAAGCAGACTATTTCAGTGTCACCCAAGCATCCAGCACAGTCTGGTAACATCATCATATCCTGTCATTCCGTCGGCCATGCTGTGATCAGGGCCCAAAAACATATAATTGGTGAGTTGTTCATGTCTCTGGCACTCATTACCACAATTTCTAGAAATAAACACCATTGATGGTCTCTCAATCAATGTTGGACAAGGTGCAGTGATGTAATTAAATACATGTTGATGAGCAATTTACTAAACAGAAACATTGTATTTTCTAGAGCAGTATTTCCACTTAAAAGCATACCGATTGTTATAAGTGGGCATATTTCATCATATCTAATGCTTGCTTCAATGTCTCCAAGCTTGAAACATTTCCTTTACAGGACATAATTTTGTAAATTGCATGTTCCATAGCTTCATGGTGAGAACTCAGCTGTATATGTTTCTTCCATAGCATCATTTCTAAAATGCATCAAGGTTCCAACTGTGCATGACTAAACAACCTAAGACCATAACAACCTAACAACCATCAACCTAAGCAACCTTAGCAGCATTAACCTCAACCTTAACAACCTGAACCTTAACAACCTACCAACAATTCAACCTTAAGGTTCTTCTTGGCAAGATGCTCAACTGTCTTGATGGTGCAGGCAGCCTTAGCAAATGAGAGTAGGACAGAAATAACCCTGTTACTTCACATGCCTAAAAACTGCATACATTATGTCTGTCTCACATAAAAGATCTGATAAGGTACAGGATTAGAGTAGGTCCAATGAGCCATGTTATAATCCCCAAAGGAATGTGTAGATAAACCTGTACACAGTTCGGCTGTTATAATTTCTCAAAAATTGCACACTGCTTGCAAATGCCAATTGCTGCATTGTAAGCAGTGCTAAAAACCAACATAGCTTCTTTCCTCACTTCAAGAAGTTTCTATAAGCTCCATGTGGTCAAAAGCTTTGTATTGTTCTCAGCATGTCTTGAACCTCAGTTTACACATGATGAACCATGAATGATTTTTAGCACAAAATGGAACATGTTGACAAACATGAATTTTTTATATTTGTAGAGGAATTGTTTGGATGCTATCATATTTTTTAGGACCTACATGTGACTAGATAGTTGCACAAGCCAAAACTCATATCATTCATTGCTAGATGTGTCTGGGGAACAGCCCACAGCTTGAACATTTCACAACCCAGTGTATCCACCTATCCTGGTGGCAATGGGGGTTTCCCTACCCACATACAACTAGATCACTAGGTAGCTGAATACTTTATCCTGAATATCTCACATGGTCATATCTTGTTGACATCACCCAACCAGTCTGTCAAAAATTCATCCAATGCATCTCATTTGTCTCTGTGATATAGCTGTTCCAAACATGGAGCATGCCAGCACTCAACTCAAGCCAGGCAAAATTGCATGAAATGTCTTACTTTTTTAGCTTGGAAGCATTTTTGGGAACATCTCTGCCTGAAATTTGTTTAGCAACAACACTATTCCTTACAAAATAGGTGTTTGCCTGACATTATTTCAGCAACAACATAACTCCTTACGAAACATGCCATCCATGCACTGCAATCGACGGGTGCTGTGAAGCGAAACCACGGTTCTCAGAATTAATGAGTTCACATACCGAAATTGTTGGCTGAGTGTCACTGCTATCCTGAATAAGTTTGGTGTGACATGTACTTTTGGCATATCAAATCAATCAGACTTCCTTGTATGACCGCAAAAATATTTTTCATAGACAGGTGTTAGCTGGATATGTAAAGAAGAAACTTGTGTACTCATACTTCAGATTTATCGACCCAAATAATCTTACCCAAAGCGCTGTTGATTGAAATTCTTGATGCTACCACAAATATTTCACAGGACCACCGATTTCACAACGTTGCACGTAGCGAAGATGCCTTTCAAGCGGTCTTTTGATGCAATAAAAAAACAAAATTAACTCATAAGTCTCTGCAGGCTTGCAGAAGGGCTAATCGTACATTGCACCAGTGAGCAATGAGTAAGCTTAATAACTGGCCCTAAGTATTCAATGAGTAAGCTAATACGAATACGGCTCACCTGCGACGAGTTATACCTAGTTTGATGACGTCACTGCTATCATCCTCTGATGTAAAATGCCAGCAACCATCGAAAGCATCAAACTTGTTTAGATACACGAACTTCAAATCATGATGAAAGTAGGACAAACATATTTTTTCATGCACATTTTTGATCTATGATTACTATTTTTGCACCCTATTTCGAATCCCTTGATCAGAAACGAGTTCACATGCTTCATGTGAGGGAATAGGTATGTCCCAAATTTGAAGATTTGAAACAAGCATCGGTGCTGTCGAAGCAAGCATCAAGGAACACAGACTCTCTGGGTCTGTGCTCTTTGAACACCAAGCAGCTCAAAGACACTGCATCTGGCCAGTTGCATGCAACCGCCAGAGACTCCGACCAACGTTATAGAAGACAGTGGTTCGCGGTGTGCCGGGTGATACCGGCCCACCTGACCAGCCGGCGCGCTGACCGGCACCTCCGCGCTCCCTTCGGGGGCGCGAGCTGCCGGTCAGTGGAACACCCGTAATTACCGGGGAGCTCCAAACGCGAGCAATAATCCACCAACCGGGGAAACGTAAAAAGAGGGCTCACTCCATGCCCTTAGCGCACAAACTTTCGGCACGGAACGTACCAACTACCTCAACTGACATGACAGTGAATTGGTCAATGTTGACGTGAGCTTACTTCGCCCACGCGCAGTCTATGTGGATGAGATTCATGCCAGCAGTCCCTCTCATTGGTACGTGGCATGGTAAAACCGAATCAGGGAGCACACGGTACGAAAATTATTGCGCACATAGTTAACATGACAGCATATGGCCCGCCAATCTGGATCCCAGATGGGGCCCAGGCATCAGCCCGCTTGCATCCCATGCTGGCATGTGGTCAGCTGGCCCACCTGCTGCCCGTTTGGATCTGAGTATATGCCGCTCACCATTGTTTAAACTAGCTTGTACACAATCAGAGAACATCCAACCATGAAGAGCAAAGTCCGAAAACTAATACACTGATGCAAGACATGTCAGCATGTGGGCAGCCCACCTGCGTTCGACATAAAGCCCGAAGACAAGCCCACCAGCAGCCCATGTTGACATGGTCCCGACTTGCCCACATGCATCCCATGTGAACCCCAGCTCGGGCTGCACTCCTTTGTTGTGTACTCATTTGTACATGATAAGGAAAAATCCAACGCGGGAGTACAAAGTAGCAGACCTAATGCACCTGTACCAAAGATGGTAGTGTATTGGCAGCCCATCTAGGTCCCAGACGGAGCCCATATACCAGCCCACCCGCAGCCTACACGGGCGTGAGCATGGATGTGGCACATGTGAAATAATTATACACGCTATGGTAAAATCTTAAAACAACAAATAAAATTGATATACACATAATTGTGTACATGACAACTTTATTGCGCATGTAACATATGGACAGCCCCTTTGGGCCCCAGATTAGGCCTAGATACCAGACCACCGGCAGCCCATGTTGACATAAGCCCAGCTTGCCCACATATGGCCCTCATAGATCCCACCAATGCAAGCATTCCCTCCTGGTAAGTTACTTTTTCTTGACATGATAAATTCCGACGGAACAGTACAAGGCACGAGCATTTCTGGTGCATTCAAAAATATGAAACGATGCGGATGTCCCGTGTGCGACCCAACTGGAGCCCAGTGAAAAGTCCACCTGTAGCACAAGCCCACATTAACCCAGTTGCCCCACGTTTAGCCCATGTGAGTCCCATTTGGGAATGCCGACTGGGATCGTATGCGATGACATAAGCTTAATCTTAACTAATGAGATGCCTTTGCGTTGAAAAAGCTGCTTTAGACACCACAGTTTTTCCGCTCAGTAAATGTGCTCCTCAATGCGCCATTGTTTGATTACGTCATCTTATCTTCCAAGACACTGATTGACAGCCAATGCTGACAGCCGTTATATTTTGATCGTGCTTATGAACACCAGATTCATATGAACGAATCAACAATTATATTTTCCTGGTCTTGACTGCGTCATGACCAGTTGAATGGCATAATTTGAATGGCGTTATCATCGCTTCATGGTTTCCTGGGTGGCCTAGAAATAGTATTGCCGAAGAGGTCTGCACATCTTCGCGGGCGTGTAGCTCAGAAACTCGAGTTGTTTGCGCCTTAAGGAGGGCTGGACCTGTGAACTGCACTGAATGGTCTCCAAGATGGCGCCATCTTGGAGAGCTTCTAGAGATAGCCCGAGCTACCTTTCTTACGTTCGTTTCGGAGCTATCTCTTTTTATCTTTTCTTCTTACGTTCCCCGGTCCAGTCTAGGCTCGCCGTGCTCCATCCGGTGTCGTCCGTTCCCGTCTGTCCCTTTTTGTCCCGTCTCGTTCGGCTTCTATCAGGGTCATGCCCGGACTCCGTGCGATACCGTTTGGCCCCGTCCTGTTTGGGTCGGCCACTTCCGTGTCTGTTTGGTACCATACGTTTCCGTCCGTTCCGTCCGGTGCCGTCAGTCCCACTCGGGCCCGTCCGATCGCGTTCGATCCCGTTCGGCAGTGACTTTGGTTTTGAGGCGTCGCCATGCAATCAGCTGAAAGTGTTTGTGATCTTTACGATTGCAGGGTAATCTGCTAGTTTTTCATGATATGATACCAGTGTCTGAGACTTTCGTGTTTCTTGGTGTTTTTAGCTCCAATACATTTTGTTCTCAACAAATGTACACTGGAAAGAATGTAAAAAATTGTTCTCTTTGAGCGACGTCAGATGAAAGTAAGCTGTTCCTGAAACTTGGCCAGCATCGCGGACCACACTCATGACTAAACGGGGGATACTGGTTGCGGGTTACAGTCGAATCTTTTTACCATATCACACACGATCTTCCCTTGCAATGCACTCGGTACCCTGGTCCGTTGCTGCTCACCAGCACACGTTTGACCCACCCAACGTACAACAACAACACCCATGTGCTCAGACACCGGGCCCGAGCCCGCACTAAAAAAACAACAACAGCGTCTTGACGGGCCAGGGAGAAGCGCGGAGAACATCTCTTATACGTCAGGATTCAACGTTTCTGGACGGCACGTTAGAACCATTGTAAAACAATAAAAAATTGATACGAAAGTATACGATGTCACACTAACATGTGCCTCTAAATATAGCACGAATCAATCATATCTTGACGAACAAATTATTTTCAAATATTTTAAAATAGTGTAATCCCTTAGCTTGCATTTGAAACTATCAAAAACCTTTCCACCGACAATGCTTTGCGGAGGGAAGAGTGTCGGCTTAGGTCTGTAATGAGAACCGACCAATCAGTTGGCGAAACGTAGCTGCCAGGCCGGGTAAATCATCCCAATGACAAGTTCTGTGCTCCTCATCACTTCACTGGTAGACATGTGAAGATTGGACTTCTTTTACTTCTCGCGACATCACAGGGATTCACAACTACACTAGGATGGCGACATCGAAAACCAGGCAGGCATTCGTAATAGCACGTGTCCTGCATCTTACTGATAACGTCACTGGGACAAATGAATCAGTCATCAGTTGAAAACTCCCAGTGGGACACGTTTTTCGGCTGTGTTTTCCCGCAGCTCACATTGTTCCATGAGACTGTTACGGTGCACGTGCATCTACCTACGTACTCGTGGTTAACATTCCTTTTTAAATTATGGAGTATTTTACTTTTCAGCAGTATTTGACTTCCAATGCAACGGCAGCAGGGATGAGGTTAGTCAATTGACAACAACATTGCGAAGATCATTACCGTGATGTGTGATGGGGCATACAGAGGCGTATAGCCCCGTGTTAGATCCAGAGCAACATGAGAACACCATTTCTACTGATGACCTACAACACTCCAACCTGTATCACACCAACGCACAGTGAAGCAAGCGTGCAAGTTCTGCGAGATTTGCCTGTCTGTCGCCAAAAATAGCACTTAACCTAGATGTATACATATACATGCATATATACACATACACACACATGCATTTATATATGTATATATATATATATATATATATATATATATATATATATATATATATGTGGTTATATATATGCATATGCATATATATATATATATATATATATATATATATATCTCTCTCTCTCTCTCTCTCTCCTCTCTCCTCTCCCTCTCCCTCCTCTCCTCTCCCTCTCCCTCTCCCTCTCCCTCTCCTCTCCCTCTCCCTCTCCCTCTCCCTCTCCCTCTGCCCATCTCCCTCTCCTTCCCTCTCCCTCTCCGCTCCCTCTCCCTCTCCCTCTCCTCTCCCTCTCCCTCTCCCCTCTCCCTCTCCCTCTCCCTCTCCCTCTCCCTCTCCCTCTCCCCTCTCCCTCTCCCTCTCCCTCTCCCTCTCCTCTCCCTCTCCCTCTCCCTCTCCCTCTCCCCTCTCTCCTCTCC